CACTTGGTCTGTCTCTGAAGAATGCACTAGTTCTACAGATGATGGATGTTGTCGTTCCACTGGAGACTTTTTTCATCAGTATTTTTCTCCTCAGATGCTGAGAACGCAGATAACGCATTGTTCAAATGCAGTAAAAATTTAGGACTAAATATACCACTCCTATTTGGACTCCTCGGTCCTGATAGACGTGTTATTAGAAGTTGGAATATTGGAATTGGATGCATTATAGCTTTGCCTAAAAGGCCAACTTTTAACTCCATTAATGGGATGGAAAGTTTTGCCTCTGTAACTAAAGAGTTGAAGACAATTGTTCACATTGCAAATTAATTAATTTGAGGAAAGAGGTTTGGGATGAAAAACACTCAATGGTGAAGGTTGGTGCAAGCTTAGAAGTCAATGTAAGTGATGTAAGGAAGCAAGGAAAAATCCATCCGGGGAGGAAAAAGAAGATATTTTTCTTAAGACACAAAGTATTATATTCACAATGAGCAGAAAGACTACAGTAATCAATCAATCTTTATTTATAGTGCGCTTTGCCTACAGGTAACACAAGGGTAACACAAACTGTACACTTTACTTCTATTAAGATTAATAACAATATCAGTTGAAGTAAGAAAAAATAAGTTTTATTGTATAACTTTAAAAAAGATTAATGAACTTTCATCGAGGATCAACTCTTTGTTAGAGCTCATTTATATTTACACTGATTCTGAGCGAGGACTAACTTCAAATGATAAACCTCACTGTTATAAAAAGGAATAAAATAGATACGTTTTGTGAGATTAACCAAGAACCATTCACTCTATGGAACAATTCTGCAAATCCCCTGAGATCTAAAGGATCAGGTTATAATTGAATGTGATGCCATAGTACTGTAATTTGCAGATAAAACAGTGTTTCAACAGAGATTAATTATCCCATCAGAAATATTACACAATCATGCTCGTGACAAATTTTGTCCGTGCTGAATAACCCAAATTACAATATTTTGGAGGTTTTTTTTTACCACAGTGAAAAGCTGTTACCTCTAACAGTTGGTGGTAATGACATTGGAAACACTCTCGAAGGGCAAATTCCCTGGTGATGCCAGATGGATATTAACAATCCAATTTGATTATTGCACCGCAGGGATGGGAACTCATTTGTAAAATAGAAAATAAGCCAGTGGATGCATTATGATCCAAACAAGCTAATGAATGAGATCAAGTTTCTTTGAGTGGCCTTGTAGACTGCTGTAACGCATGAAGTGAACTGCAGGAGAAAGTGCAACCGGCAACAATGGTGTGAGTGCAATAATAGAAAAAAAAAGGTAGTGTATCACGTAACCATAATGGGATAAATTGAGTTTTATTCAAATTGCATTCAGGCGCTAGCAACAACTAGAAATAATATATAGGTTTGAAATTATATAAATTCACACACATATTCAGCACTAGGATATTTTATAATACAATAAGTTTTATATGTATATACACTGTTTTTATGTTTTATTTTCTGTCTGGGTTACACTGTATTAATACATTTGATTGATTGATTGATAGATGCATTTGCGTACAACAATTTTCAAGCACCATACTGTATCCCAGAGGATGTACTGTTTATATTTACTTTAGAGACCACATAGGATGCTTGATGGCTCTCTTTTAAGCGTTTTTGAAATGACAATTGGAAGTCAACAATCATCTCATCTACACGGTCTTTAAGCTTATTATTAACAACAAAGAAAGCGGGTCAAAGGAGGTTGAGGAGCAAAAGTGTTCAGGATGTAGAAACTAAAAAGCCTAAACTTTGGGTCACAGTGAATTCAGGTGGGGCAAGAATCGTTTTGCTGCAGGGCTGATAACAATAAATCTTAAATTGTGTTTCCATTTTACTCACGACCCATACTATTTGCTTTCTTTCATTTCATTTCATTTCATTTCATTTCATTTTCAACCCCTTTGTCCATTTCTGGGTCGGGGGGGTGGCAATGAGAGCTGCCACCCAACGCTCATAGCACCAGGCCCTCGCTGATCTTCTGCAGGGGGTGAGTCCACAGGAAGATGGCTGCTCCGTCAATTGTGAAACAGCCTTGATCTTTCAGCAGGGGGCTTCAGGCAATGTGGGGTTAAGTGTCTTGCCCAAGGACACAACGACAGCATCAGTGGGAGCAGTTGGAGTAGGTCCCATGGTGGGAATCGAACTCACGACCTCCAGGCCCAAAGGCCAATGCTCTACCAACTGAGCTACTGTCGCCCCATTTGCACTATTTGCTTTCTAATCTTTGTCTTTTTACACAAATGTGCTCAGAGGCTGTTATGCACCTCTGGGCTCACTTAGATGTATTTAGACATGCCGAATGTGCATTAGCTTCTTAGTCTTTCAAATCAGTATCATAAAGCTATAACACAGCAGGGAGTATTTTAGGAAAGGTAACAAAGTGCATTTTCAATCTATCGGGTTTTTATTTCCCACTTCAATCTACAGAGGAGGCTGGAAAGTGGTGATAGGTATTGATTAAAAACACTCCCCGCTGGACCTGAACGACAGCCACTTTCCGAACTGTAAGTAACAAAGTGCTTATACCGTCAGCATGCTACAGTAGTATATAAAGAATGCATTTCGGATGGGCCATATTGGACATGAAAAACAGGAGGTCTCTCTCTGCTCGGGGAGACATTGGCCACCTGGGAAACATTCAAGCAGCACTTGAAAATCAATACACAGGATTTTCAATCACAGCTCCAGTCATTGTCTACGACTCTGCGGTACAGTCATATTAGGAGCAGGACAAAAGGGAGGGCAGCGATGATTGGTAACCTTTTCCTGGTGCAATAAAGTGGTACCGATCGGAACTTGTGTGTTCGTGATGTGCAATAATGATAGTAATTAGTAAGTAATAGCTGTATCTTAATAGCTCGAGATGATTAAAATGTAGAACAAGGGACGGATAAGTGCAATTAGAATTACCAATTAGTTCTTAAATATTTTTGATTCCATATAAATTAATGTTCACCCCTTCTTGAACGAATTATCTCAAGAGTACTGCCAATAACAAAAAGAAGATTGTAACGAGAGGAATACCAGTGTTTTGACAAATTATCAAAATGGATATGTCTGTCTTTATGATGTTATATTTTCATGATAACACAAATAAACTCAATTTTGAGCTGTCACAATTGAGTACATACAGGCCGGTAATAATGCAAATGGAGAAAAGAAAATAGATCGTATATTTTCTCAGGAAAACTACCAAATGTAACCTTTTCTAACATTTGAAGCCATCCCGTCTTTAAATATAAAACAATGGGTTCTTTATATTTGGTCAGTTTTGGTTTAGTCTTCTCACATAAGCAGGAGATAAATATTGCTGAACGTTTCCTCGGACGTTCGTGCGCGACCAGAGAGCCACAAAGTGGTCACGGGGACAGAAGCAGTCTGAGCGAGCAGACTCAACATACTGTAAACAGCCAAAACAGGAGCTACACCAGGACTAAAACCAGGGTTGACAATGGGGGACATAGTGCTTGTGAATATATGCGTTTTCATGCTCCCGTGACTTTATGCAACTGCTTCGAGTGTGTTCGCAGATGCGGAAGTACCGTTTAATAATAAAATAAACTTATAGCGCATGAACACATACTACTGTTTTATATAGTCTCTGCAAGGTCTCTAGACAGAGACGCTGCAGAGCTGCCTTATTGGAGATTAACTTTACACAAAAAGCCGCTAGCTAACTCCTTTAGCATCAAAGTCCACCTGCAACTTCCGGCACTTACGGCGCTGGCCAGGACACCCGGTGTGAAGTCCCCTGCGTCTGAAAACTTGAGAATGTGCGTCAGTTGCGCGAGGCTTCAGCGTTCCAGCGTTGGCGGTGTGAACACAGCTTAAGAAAGCTGTGGGTTCTCTGTCAGCTGAGGTTGAACTGTTTTAGTTTGCATTGAGATCTATGGGACTTTTTTCTGGGTAGCCCGCATGAATTTAGTCTGCAGTACCACGGGAGCCCCCTGTACCCATGGGTGGGACACATAGACTGTAAAAATTAACGGACGTAGCTACGCCTATCTCCACCGTTCTAACTAATGAGCCAAAAATGATCTTGCGTCAGCCGGCGCAAGCTCCATTCATTTAAACGAGAGACTTAAAAAATTCACAGCAAGTAAACTGGAGTGGACCAAAAAAATTCACCCCCATCAGCATTGACACACATATGGAACGGAGCTTTGGGCCAAGAGCCAACTGTTGGACGATCCTGTAAAGACGTTTTTGAGAGGTCTGCCAATGCTATATGTCAGCATTGGCTAATTCTCATTCCGGGTCCACCCCCCATCGGCCCAGGGTGGTATTGCAAGCAATGTCAGCACACGTCATTTTGGCTACTTTTGAGCCGGGACCCGCCCCCACTGGTTTTATCAGAAAAAAAATAATTATTAATAACGTTAGTGCCCTTTTAAGTGTGTCCAGAGGTGGCCTGCAGAAGTATGAGTGGAGCTTAACAGTATCTGCACAGAGCATGGCGGATGGAGTGGAAGAAGGTGCAAAGTTTGCCTCTCTTCTTTGGTCGAACCAGATGGTTGTGATGATGGATCTCTGTGATGATGTGGTCCAGTGCAGATAAGTTAATCGATTTCTTCTTTTTCTTTGTGCACATGTCTCTGTAAATGTCACAAGCTAATTTTTGGTTTTGATTTGGACACTCCTTCACATTCCATTCCCACATTTGTTCCTCTAGTTGCTGATGCAGCTTCGTCACCAGAGGATGAGCCCCAGACAGGCGTTTTTCCTGAAGAATATGTCGGGAAACCTCCCACGCTAAATTGTAGATGTGAGTGGTGTCCCACTGAGAGGAGATCTCATGGTTCTTTATGATCTTAGTCGAGCCCTGGTCTGGGATCAGGTGCAGAGGCATGAAGGGGGAATCAGAGGGTAAGCTGAATCTGATGCCTATGGGAGGAGACCTCTCTCGTTTATCAGAAGGTAAGTTGTATCTGATGACTATGGGAGGAGACCTTTTTCGTTCATCACAGGGTGAGTTGTTTCTGATGGTTTTCACCTGCTGAGTCTCTGTGTTGGATAAACTCGCCTGTGCAGGCGCTATCGGGGGAGACTTTCCTCGTCCACTTGTGGAAAAGCTTCTGATTTGGCTCTTCAAGCCCATCCTGCAGATCCTTGGTTGGTTTCTGCTTCCTCTGCTTCTTAGGGCCAGGTTTAGTCAAAGAGCTCTGAGGAACTGGTTCCTGGTTCAAGCAGCTCTGAGGAGCTAGTTCCTGGTTCTGTGTCGGTTCACAAGACGAGGTCTGCTCAGTTTTAAGCTGAGTTTCAGTCTCATCGTGGAGGACACCAGGGGAATCAAACTGGAGCATGATTTCTCCAAGTGAAGGAATGTCACACTTCTTCTGCTTCACTTCCATCTGCTCCATTGGAGGTTCTGCAGAGACATGAAGTCGACCGGGAGAAGGGTTTCTTTCACTGAACTTGGACATCACTCTCTCCTGTTCTGAGGCAGAGACTTCAGTCTCTTTGCTCTCTGAGTCCAGCACCCCACTTTTCAGTTCGTTTTCAGTGAGACCTCTAGAAGTTTTTCCCACTGGTCAGAGAAGGTCATGTGGAGCAGGAACATTGGTGCATTAGCAGCGATGTAGCGCAGAGTTCTCCATGGTGTGGAGTTGTCCTTCTCCTCCACCAGCAGAACACGCTCAAAGCCACAGTTGTCCTTCAGCACAGAGTTGACCGTGTGAGTTACTTCTGTACAGAGGAGTTTCATGACTCTGTCCAGAGCAATGAACTCTTCTGTAGAAGTGGTTTTGATGAAGGTTCTAAAGATGGGGCTGAGTGAACCTTTGACTCCTGTCTGTGACACCTGACCCTTACCAGGGGAACATTCCTGGTCACTAACGCCCTGAGGACCTCATTGGCCGACACGCAGATCAGATCCTTAAACATGTCCTCCATCTTGGCCTTGGAAGGATGTGAGAAGACGCTTTATATCGTCCCCTTTCACTAAGGGCAGATCCTCCGGGGTGGACTTGCTTCCACTGATGGGCTCGTCTGGCGATCTCTGAGTTGAGTATATCTTGCATGCTGGGTAGTTCGGAAGCGCTGGCCCTGTCTTGGCGTTCTCAATCTCCTGCAGCATCTCTCTATAAAGGGAACTGTCCTTGTTGTTCATTCCTGCCATAGTGAAAAACAAACAGACTCCTTTCTACGGCAGGTTGAGATCCAGACCAACTGCTGTTTAGGAGGACTCTCTAACTTGACTCCGAAGGCTGCTCCTAGGAAGACTTTTTGGGAAATCTAAAAATGACATCACTTAGAACCCGTTTCCATGGTGTCACAAGCTGGCTCTATGCTTGTGGCAAAATGAAGGACAGACAGGTAGGGTCATTTACATATTTATTGTAAATAATGAAAACAACAAACAAAAGATAATAATCAACAAGAATGAGCTGTGAGTATGTGAGCAGTGAAATGTGTGCGGTGTGTGCAAGTCAGTGAATGTGTGCATATGTCAGGGTATGTGTGCTAGTGATGTGCTGAGCGTGCCGGGTCTTCGAAGCGTGTACCGAGTAAAAAAGGGGCGTATTTTTTGAAGCGTGGTTTGAGGCGTGTGTTGGTGACGTATGTGGTGACGTTCGAAGCCTCGCGTAGCGCCCGCACCACGTGACGGTTCATATAGTGCTTCATATAGTTCGGAGAGTGCATTGCTTTGACAGGTGCTTTGTGATCCGCGGCTGTACCATAGACTGTATTGGCTGTCCCCGTCTGCCTCTGTGTGCGTACGTGTGTGTGTGTGCGTACATGTGTGTGCATGATGTGGAGCAGTCCTGTACTAAGTATAGAGAAACTACTTCATATGAAATACAATTAAAAACGTTTCACTTTAGTAAATCCTCATATATCAAGGTTTCAAGTTATTAGTAATAATACGCTGGATAATACATTTCACAACGGCTGTGTGGCGCAGTCGGTATATGACGGACTCCGAAGTAGAAGATATAGCGTTCGAATCCTGGTCTACCCATAATAAATTTTGTGTTGCAAAGTAAATGTATTTATCTATTGGGAATAAATGGTTTGTTGTGTTTAATTAATCCACCTCTTGGTAGTTTTTCCTCCATTAATCACTTTCTGTAGAACTGTATTACTTTGGATGTGTTTGTTGTATCAACACAATTGACTGAAAGACTCAAATAGTTCATAGTTCATGAAGCATCATTTCAAACACAACACATTAGACCATAGATTGTAAATATACATGTTAACAATAGATCTCACCATTCATTGTAAGCACTTAAGAGTGTTATGTATTTCTTTGTCCACATGATGGCGTAGTGGAGCATGATTCACCTCGAGCCTTCGACTCATGGGCCGAGTAATAGGCTGCGATCCCTCAAGGTTTCATGGGGCTTCATATTGCCATCACTAATGTGTGCATATGTCTGAGTGTGAAAACAAAGCTAATCTTAACGAATGACAAAACAAAGAACACAAGATCCAGTACCTGGAAGGAGCAGAGCAGAGACAAAGTGTTAGTGACACACACATATTTATGCACAGGTGCCCCAATCACTGGATCCACCCTGCCTGAGAGGGCCCTGCCCTGTCAGGCAGGGAGGGGCCGTGACAATGGTAACAAGATTCTAATGGAATTCTATTGAACAAAGTCATCCAGCCAGGTGGAAACACAATGCTTTGCGTTACCATGGAAACCCTCTTTTGGTGATTGTGAAAGTTGCTACAATTGAAAATGAAGTAAAATATAATAATAAAACCGTCTCCAGTGCCTAAATATAGATATTGAGTCTCTCTCTCGTGCTGAGGGTCATGATGAGCGGGCAGTACTGGCCCAAGGGGGACGAGGTGTACCACGCCGAGCTCACCTTGCCCATCCTGCTGGTGCACGGCCTGTGTGACAAGTTTGTGCTCATGGAAGAGGACCAGCGCATGGCCGAGGTATGGACGGGACAGTCACTGGTTACAAAAATAAAAAATCCTGTATTATTTGCATGGGTGGGAATTGCACGGTTGCACCTGACGTCACGTAACGGCGCGAAAGTGCTCCAAGGGACAGGAGGTATCTCCCCATTAAGAACAATGTAAAAATGCACTCATTCCAAGTCAAAATGCTCTTTTTCTGTGGTGTGTACAGTTGTGGCAACTGCTCATATCAAGTGGGGAACGTATGAGTCTCTATTTTGCTAAAATGTATTTCTGTAACGGGTGTCAATTTTTAGGAAAATTTACGAAGAAAACAACAAACCTTCTATTTTTTCGACCTCCAACCAGTTCCTATTTATTTTATTCGGCCCCTGACCAAAATTAGTTTGACACCCCTACTGTAGATGGTACATTTCTCAAGACTGTAGTGTTGTATTTTTTATTTCTGCGCCGATTGTTTATTTATATTTTATGGAAATCTGGCTGCCACCATGATCCAAGTCTCTGCTTTTATGTGATGCGGCTCTTGACACAATTCCTGTGGGGATCGATGGCCACACTCAGTCAAATGGGGTAAAAGTTCTTTTAGAACAGTTCTTTTTAGCTGTGCATACAAGTGAATGATTTTATATTTGTTTTTATCTTTAATCTTTTTAATGCACTATGATTATTTATGATTATTTATGATTGTAATCCCTTGTGTGATTTTAATGTTTTACGGTTTTTAACTACTTGTGTGATTTTATATATCTTGTGCTCTTAATCTGTCCTTTTATGTTTACTTAAATTCTAATGTTTGATGATTTATGCATGATGTTATATGGGTTGTGAGGCGCTTTGCGTTGCCTTGTGTAGGAAAGGCGCTCTATAAATAAACGTTGATTGATTGATTGATAAAACTAATGTCTTTAGTGTCTTATAGGTGGAACCAGAGAGCAGCGCTGAGGCCGGTATCAGACAGACGGTTAAGTGAAAATTTTCCCTGGTGTAGACACTTGAAGGACATACAGTCAGCCAAGAGATAATGTCCAGACTGGATAATAGAGTCTTTCTATTCTCTTCTAGACAATATCTGCTGACATGCCGTTCTTTCATGAACTATCTGAGATATTGGTGTAAAAGAAATCACACCTCACCAGTACTTTTTAACATTATAATTAACACTAGGACTCCCACAATTATGAAAGTAAAAAAACTCCCACAGCTGCCATGTTAACTGCCCTCATTCAAACCAGTAGAATTTAGAGAAATTGCCTCAAATAAGTTAAAGATGCAGTCAGTGATTTTTTCCAGAAGCATTTTTTAAAATATTGTGGAAATTTATAAAAAATATTTTGGAAGACTGACTGCTAAAGCCTATCCCCTCCAGGCCTGCCACACATCCTCGGCCTATTGCACAGCAAACGCCCATTTCCAGCCAACCTATGCAGGCCACGCAAGCAGCCTAAAAGAGGAGACTCCCACTTCTCAAGCCTCGCAAACCACCGCCTCCCCTCCTCCGCCTCTCTCTCCTTGCTCGAGCGTGCGCTCTTTCCTGCTGCCCTAATGCCACCACCAGTTCCTAGGTCCCGGGGTGAACGCCTAGGACGCCAAACTACCTATCAATAAAACTTTCAAACTGCATTTTTTCTTCTGAGTCTCTCCAGATTGAAATGCCAATTTCACGTTTGCCACCCAGTCTCCCCGTTGTGACAAAGAAAAGAAAATGCTGGATGTTTGGTTTGGTGGAGAGGTTTTGAGTTGGTGCCACGGCTAAGCTTACAAAATCGCTTACTGCATCTTTAAATTTTAACTTTTTTAAAATTCTAACCGGCAGCAAGTAAACAATACGTTGCTACGGTAACTAGTACTGGCCGAACACTGAAATGAGAGTAGTTCTACCTTTTCCTCCCACAGTGACAAACAAACAAACAAACAAACAAAGTAAAATAAAATGTCTTAAAAATAATGACTTAGAAGTAAACAAAACATTGAGAAAGGAAAGGTCACAAAGTTATGTAGACCAAAAAAGTAAATATGTTAAGTAATTACACTTACTTACACTAAAGGCCGTCAAATTGACTGCTCTGGGAATTCTAGTGTTAAAAGATTGTTACAAATTTCTCTCAGGGATATTAGGCCATGATGTACGCCTATTATTTGAAGTCACACCTATACCCCGAGGGAGGCTAATCTATCTGCCAACAATTCCTTTGACCTACTGTTACAGACATCCTCTAAAAAGCAAAAAATGAATAAAATAATTGGTGAATAAATAACGTCTGAGCTGACAGAAGTAAATGGCATCTTGTTGTATTTCTTTAAACTCTTTTACTGTATCAAAATTGTGTAGTGCACCAAGAATAAAACGCGTGTTCTGACTGAGAAGCAGGCAGTTTAAATGATCCTAATTATACACATTAGCAAATAAATTGAATGGGGCCATTATAGCTTAATGGACACAGCACTTTCTCACTAGTGTATTTATTTAAACTCAGTATTTAATTTCATTTTAATTGAAATGGGAACGGCGATTTCACGAGGTAGGAAAGGTTTGAACATTAGGAAGAACGTAGATCCACTTTTCACGTTTAATACCTCTTTAATTATCACCCTGGCTTGGCACATTAAAACTATAATAACTAATAACTCAGCAGATTTTCTTCTGGTGCAAAGTGTTAAGACTTATCATTTCACCAATTTTTTTCTTTTACAAATTCATAAACCAATGCAAGTTGAAACGATAGCTGTCAGGGGATGAAAACGTTATTTTGTATTTTGTCTGCTGAAATTCCACACATAGCCACATAGCACAATACAGGGAATGTCATAAGCGATGGTAAAAATGGCTGACTTTGTGCTCATCTATCTGGTAACAATTGTTATTTAAAAATATTTCATTCAGCAGCGCCGTGAGAGGAGCTCCTTTGCCGCTATTTTGAGCAGAAATATATTGGTATTACTGGAGTTACTCAGGAAAATCACCTGAATATTTTGAATGACGCGGTCCTTTAGTGTAGGAGAAGCATTGTATT